GGAGGAAAGGTTTTATTTAGCTTACACTTATTTCCAAGTTACAGTCCATCAAGGGAACTCAAAGCAGGAGCTTGAAGCAAAAGCCACAGAAGACTGCTACTGGCTTGTTTCCTCTTGATGTGCTCAGCCAGCTTTCTTACATGACCCTGGCCCACCTGCCCAGGGGTGGCAACACCTGTGGCATGCTTGCTCCCTCTCCTCCATATCATTTAGCAATTCAGAAAATGCCCCCGCAGACATGCCCACAGGCCAATCTAATGGAGGACATTCCTCAATTGAGGGTTACTCTTCTCAGGTGTATCCAGTTGACAACCAAGATCAGCCATCGCATTCAGTGATCCCATTCAGTGATCCAGTATTCACTTTTCTTACTGTTTCTACAGCAGAAATAATTTGTTGTGAACAAAGATTCCACCTTCTCCCTAAGAATTCATGTAGAGAGGTGTACCTGTGTTGTGAGTGCCTGTGGAGGTCAGAAGAGGGCGTTGGATTCCCTGGCACTGGAGTTATGGAGGGCTGTTAGTTGCCATTGGGTGCTGGGAGCTGAACCTGGGTCCTCTGCAAAAGCAGCCAGTGCTCTAATTCGTTGAGCCATGTCTCCAGTACATAAGCAACACCATCTTACTGACAGCAAATGACCAATGCAGCTGATGGACCCAATGTGCATTGGTCCAAGGTCGTCTCACGGATTTTTCCAGGCTTCTGCTTCTCTGCCTAGTTAATCAAGCAGGCATAGAACAACCAGTTTGCTGGGCAAGTAACCTTATTCTAGCATATCATTATCTTCCTGGGCTCTGAGGCAGGGAAATTAAGGGATGTGAGAAAAGAGCCCCTCATCCTGAAGTTTGATTGACATCCCTCATCCACTGAGAGTCCAGAATTTCGGCACTAAATCTGCTGTGAAGATGGCCTCAGAGGGCTGATGAGATGATACAGTGGGTAAATGTGCTTGCTGCCATGCCTGACAACCTGAGTTCAATCCCTGGGAACCACATGATGGAAGGAGAGAACCAACTCCCACAGGGTAGTCTCTGACCTCCATACATGTGCCATGGTACAGGGACAATAAATGTGTTTAAAAAAAAAAATCAAAGGTCATCTACAGAGACAACATTCCCTTCTCTAAGGGATACCTCAGACAAGAGTGTTAAAAACAATAAATGAGCTCTTTCCTTTTGGCCACCACCATGCCATCCAGATTGAGGAAGACCAGGAACTCTGGGGTCACATGAGCCACAGCCACGACTGCAACCCAGAAGCACCAGAAGCACCCGGGTGGTGGAAGTGATGCTGGCAGTATGCGTCACAGGATCAACTTTGACAAATATCATCCAGTTTACTTTGGGAAACCAGAGCTTCTGTCCAGCTGTCAGCCTTGATAAATTGTGGACATTGGTCAGTGAACAGGCATTGGTAAATGCTGCCAGAAACAAGGTTGGAGCTGACCTCATCATTGATGAGGGGACATCATTGATGTACGGTCAGGCTACTGCAAAGTTCTGGGGAAAGCTCCCTGAGCAGCCTGGCCTCTTGAAGGCTAAATTCTTCAGCAGAGCTAAGAAGGTTGAGGGTGTTGGGGCACCCACGTCCTGGTGGCTTGAAGCCACGTAGGGAGAGTCATTAAATGCTAGCAGTCTGAAAAAATAGATAAAACAGCAACAAAAAATGCTTACTTAGAATTGCGGTACTCTTTTAATTTAACTGTATTGACACTCCAACACTCCTCTCTTACCCCTAAACCCAAGCAACATAAAACTACCTTGCAATTTCATTTACAAAAATGAAAAAGGAGGGGCTGGAGAGATGGCTCAGCGGTTAAGAGCACTGACTGCTCTTGCAGACAACCCGGGTTCAATTCCCAGCACCCATATGGCAGCTATGAACCATCCTTGACTCCAGTTACAGGGGAATCAAGCCCTCTGACCTCCGCGGCATTGCACGACACAGGTGAACTCACATACATGCAGGCAATACACTCATACACAGAAAATAAAAATATTTTAAAAAATGAAAAAGGATATTTTATATATTATATATATTTATATATCAGACAGGGTCTCACTACATAGCTCTGACTGACCTGGAACTCACTATGTAGATCAGGCTGGCCTAAAACTCACAGAGATCCACCTACTTCTGCCTGAGATTAAAGGTGTGTGCCACCATGCCCAGCCTAGAAAATTCCTTAAGATATGAAAAACAGGTAAACTAGCTTATGTTTTGTATTTAATTTTCAAACATTGCCTAATCTTTGAATCCTGTTTAAATTGTTCCACATCCTTTGAGCAATGTAACTGTTTTGGAGAGATGGCTCAGTGGTTAGGAGTACTTACTGTTCTTCCAGAGGTCCTGTGTGTGAATCCCAGTACTCACATTGGGGAGCTCAAAACCATCTGTAACTCCAGCTCCAGGGGATCCAGCACCTTCTTCTGGTCTCCATGGATACCTGCACTCATGTGCACATACCCACACACAGACACATATATACACATTTTTTTTTCTTTTTTTGAGATGGTCTCTCTGTAGCCCCAGTTGGCTTGGAATTTACTATGTAGACCAGGCTAGCCTTGATCTCACAGATATCCCCCTGCCTCTGTCTCCCATGTGCTTTGATTAAAGGCGTGCTCCACCATGTCCAACAACATAATTTTTAAAAATACAAAGTAAACCTTT